GGTTTGTAATTTAATATAATACTATATAAATTTGAATAAAACATTACACCGTATATGTATAGAGAGAATTTATAAGTACATTTTATTATAATAAAAATGCTGTCATGTATGTATTAAACAAGTTTTAGTTCGATATAGTTTTTGGTGCAGCCGCGCCAAGATTTTTTGTATTAAATATTTTTTATTGCATTGTTATAATAATTAATTTGTTATAATAATAAGTAAAATAACCATATAACTCGGTGTTCTAATAAATAATGATAAATTTTACTTGTAAAAATTTATGCCATGGACATTTTTTGTAGCTAGGTTTTTCTTGAATAACAAAAACCTTTAAAAAGATATTTTTTTTTAATATTGGACACTATTAATAAACGTGTTAAATTTTTATAATACTATATAATTTTTACTTTTAAAAGCTTATGTACATATATATCTTAAAAGAAAAATAATTTGATTTGTATTTTATTTGTAAATTTTATTTGTAAAAACTTATGTTATGTACATAATATATATCTTAAAAAAGGAAATAATTTAAATTTGAAATTTCTAAAAATATTAAGTATACAATAATCATATATATATATATTAGGTTTCTCAGTTGGCGCTACCGTTCTAATATATCACTTCTTTTGTACAGTAAAATAGTGTTGTAGAGTTTTATTATAGTTATAAGTATTACTTGTAAAAACTTAAGTTATATACACATATATGCCTTAAAAAAATAATTTGAGTTTAAAATTTCTAAAAATAACACAATACATGTTGCGCTTGTACTTGGCGCCTTTTTTTACCTTTTTGTTTAATAATGTAAGTTTCATATAAATTTTACTTATAAAAATTGTATATACGTCACGTACATACACCATTAATATGTAAATGTCATTAATTTATACTTGTAAATTATCTTCACCTAATTCGCGTATTACCTGCACTACTTGCGTTATAAATTGTATCAAGTAGACCTTAAAATTGAAGAGCAATCTCTTTGGACGACGCGTCAATAAGCACCGGTATTGATTTTTCGGTGGCACATCTCATTACATCGTCTGCTCAGCATCAGCTGATCGGCAATCAAATGACGTGCGTCATAACATACTGTGACGCATACCAACAGTATTCTCATATACAGGGTGCACGATTTATCTTAAGACATTGAAATATCTCGAGAACTATGCATTGGATAAAAAAAAGTGGTTAATGAAAGTTGTTAGTCTCGAAGGGGGACATCCAATGATGCCAAACTCGACCTCCCACCCCACCCCCTGGGGGTGGGGGTTGGGGGCAACTTTGAAATCTTAAATGGAAATCCCCATCTTTTATTGCAGATACGGATTCTACGCCACAAAATACGTAAATTTTGTTCGAAACTTTTTTTTTTATTCGTGATAGATGGCGCTGTAATCGCAAAAAATTATATTTTCCGCAATTCTCCAGAAATGATCATTGGATTGAGAAATAAAAAATACCTGTTCAATATTTTTAAAAAACATAATAAAAGTTATTCCTCCCCCATCCTCTCGGGGTAGGGTGGGTGGTAACGTTCAAATCTCAAATGGGGATCCACATTTTTCATTGCAAAATTAGATTGTACGTGAAATTTTTATTGAAACAATTTTTTTCGTTGAAACAATTTTTTATAATAAGCCGTAGTTCGCCATATACCCACAGTGGCGCGTCGAGCAGTTCCCTCTTCGATTCGGGTTCCCATTTGAGATTTGAACGTTACCACCCACCCTACCCCGAGAGAAGGGGGGGGGAATAACTTTTATTATGTTCTTTAAAAATATTGAACAGGTATTTTTTATTTCTCAATCCAATGATCATTTCTGGAGAATTGTAGAATATATAATTTTTTGCGATTACAGCGCCATTTATCACGAAAAAAAAAAAGTTTCGGACAAAATTTACGTATTTTGTGGCGTAGAATCCGTATGTGCAATAAAAAATGGGGGTTTCCATTTAAGATTTCAAAGTTGCCCCCAACCCGTACCCCCAGGGGGTGGGGTGGGAGGTCAAGTTTGGTATCATTGGATGTCCCCCTTCGAGGCTAACAACTTTTATTAAGCACTTTTTTTTACCCAATGCATAGTTCTCGAGATATTTCAATGTCTTCAGATAAATCGTGCACCCTGTATATCTACATATATATATATATATGTATGTATGTATGTATGTATGTATGTTGTACAAATAAGATTATAATTATCCGCGAAAAAATAATTACCAGGTCTGTAAATATGAAACCGGAATTTGCCCATAGATGACCCTAGCTGTCAATGTAGTTACCGTCAAACCGCGTCATTAGCGCTATTTCCATTTGTTGATATCTGACAAAAATTCTCAACTCACAACAATACAAGTTTCATACAACGGCATAGTTTGTAATAGCGTTGAACATGTCGAATTTTGTGCCTGGAAGCTACGATTTGCGGACAGAATTGATTTTCTGTTACCATTTGAAGAAAACTGCTGCAGAATCGCATCGAATGCTTGTCGAAGCTTACGGTGAGCATGCTCTTGGTAAATCACAGTGCTTTGAGTGGTTTAAAAAATTCAAACGTGGCGATTTTGACGTGAGAAACGAAAAACGTGGAAGACCACCGAAAAAGTTTGAAGACAGTGAATTGCAAGCATTGTTAGATGAGGATGACGCTCAAACGCAACAACAACTCGCGGATCAATTAAATGTGACACGAGAAGCCGTCTCCATACGTTTGAAAGCCATGGGAAAGATCCAGAAGATGGGAAAATGGGTTCCACATGAACTGAATGAAAGACAGCAGGAAAACCACTTGCGAAATGCTGCTCGCCAGGTACAAAAGAAAGTCATTTCTCCATCGAATTGTGACTGGCGATGAAAAGTGGATATATTTTGAGAATCCTAAGCGTAAAAGATCATGGGTAATTCCGAGCGAACTATCGACATCGACTGCAAGGCCAAATCGTTATGGACGGAAGACAATGCTCTGTGTTTGGTGGGATCAGAAGGGTGTGATCTATTATGAGCTGCTAAAACCTGGCGAAACCGTTAATACTGAACGCTACCGACAACAAATGATCGATTTGAATCAAGCTTTGCGTGAAAAACGACCGTGAAAACCAGAATATCAAAAAAGGCAACACAAAGTGAGTTTACTTCATGATAATGCACCATCACACACGGCAAAACTGGTCAAGGAAACGATTGAGGCGTTTAGTTGGGAAATACTTTCGCATGCGGCTTATTCACCAGGCTTGGCTCCGTCCGATTACTACTTATTTGCATCGATGGGACACGCACTTGCTGAGCAGCGCTTCACTTCTTATGTACGAAAATGTACGAAAATGGCTCGATGACTGGTTTGCCTCAAAAGAGCAATAGTTTTTTTGGCGTGGCATCCACAAATTGTCAGATAGGTGGGAAAAATGTATAGCTAGCGATGGGCAATACTTCGAATAGAATATTTTTTATCATTTTCATACAATAAACGTGTATTTTCTATACAAAAATTCCGGTTTCATATTTACATACCTGGTATATATAATTACATATAATCATATATTTGACTATAGGAGAACAATGTAAATATAACAATGTAAATGAGTCATATATAATCGTATATATTTTATACGCAGTTATAAATAATTTTATATAACTATATGCAATCCTTTTCGCTCGGATATGCAACAACAAAACGGAATGTAAAGTAATTCCAACAAACAATTACAATAAAAACATTTTCGTCGCAAGATGACCCGAGAAAATACCGTTTCTCTTTCAATGACCTTTCAACGACAGCTCTTTCGACCGATTCCATTTCCTCTGAACGAGAGTGAACAGTGTCGCGATTCGTCGCGACTTTCCAATTTTCAGAGTTCGCATATCTTTGTAATGAGGTCACGAATTTAAAATTCCATCGGAACCAGTCAGAAGTCAAAGGAGCGAGTTAGATCCGTTGATCTCCTTCAAGTGCAATCCTGAGTGCGAAGTCCTATTCCGTCGGTCATTCATGACGTGAAAATCACGGACGCCTCGACATTCCCGCCGAGGAGAAATCGATTGCGAATCGGCCGAAGAGAATCTGCCCCTGAAAGCCGAGCTTCCCGCGAACTTGTTCGTAATTTTCGTCAACGTGTGTTTGCCACGCACTCTTGCCGGCAGTCGAGACTTCCGCCACACACGCGGTACACACGCTCATTACGCCTGTAAATCGGTGTCCCATGTGCTGTCGCACGATAACACGTGGTTCCCTCGTATACATAACATATACACACAGAAATAGACACACCGCGTCCACACTCTTGTCCTTCTAAAGCCACGCTCCACGACGATCGCATAGGCGTGCGCGGCGCACACTCGCTTCTGAGCGCGAAGCAGCTCGCGTCATTAGCGCAGTCGTTGAGCACCGCGAGCGAGAGTGCGCGTGATTAGCGCAGGTAGCCGGCGGCTGGTCGCGGAGCCGGGAAGCGCGCGAGATACATCGGCCGAAGGATCCCTGATCGAGGCCGCCAATGCATCGAGGTATTACTCATCTAGCCGCGAACTACCGGCAGGATATAGTCCGAGGCGTACGACGAGTCCGCGTACGGGGGGGGGAGGGGCAGACGAGGACCCGTACGTACGACGAGCCCATCGTACGTACACCGACGTCGCCGACGCTCTTCTTCGTTCGTTTTGCCATTTGTTCGCCGGAGCGGACGCGAGCGCATACCTCGCAGTCGCGTCGCTCTTCCTGCGGGCCCCGCGTTCGCGCTCGCGTTCGCCTTTTCGATCGGCCGCTCGGTTAATCGGCTACCGGGCCGAGAAGGAGGCGCGGTCGGGGAATTCGCGCGAGCGCCAGTGCGGACGCTACCGCGTTTACCTGCTGTTGCTCTCGCTGCTGCTGCTGCTGTTGCTGCTGCTGCTGCTGCTGTTGCTGCTGTTGCTGCTGTTGCTGCTGTTGCTGCCATGGGACTGCAACGTGGCCGTCGAGTGAGCGTCGAGCCGGTGCTCGCAGGTGCGAAGGAGTAAGACGGGAGCTCCTGATCCGCTGATTCGGCAGGGATCGTCGGCCCACCGCTCTTCCCGGCCTCTGGCAGGTGACGTCTCGTTTGCTTCTCCAGGGGAAAGCTCGCCCTTCGCGAGGAACCTGCGAATAATACAGCGACGTGTCACCAAGGTCAACGATGCGCCCGGCGCATCCAGGGCGCCGATGACTTCTGGTAGAATAGAACTCACCTCAAACTTCTCTTCTTCGCCGAGGTCTTTTTTAGTTTCGGTTTTTAGATTTTTAGATTCGTTCGATATCGTTGTTCGATATCGGATGTGATCGAGGCGTTATTGAAATCGGTGCTCCCCATGCGACGTTTAGCACCGTATTATACTTGCGATCGTCGTAACGAGAGAGAGAGAGAGAGAGAGAGAGAGAGAGAGAGAGAGACACTATTTGCGATCGGTATTTACTATTAAGCTGCGAGACAGTCGCTCGTAATAACAAGTCGGGATATTATCGCTTCTAATTCGCGCGTTCGCGACAATCGTCACAAACGTGACATCGCCTCGCCACGTGTCATTCCTGGCTGCATGTATCGCTTTCGACGATGGTGACGATGACAACGACGACAACGACGCGAAACTACGCAGCAACGAGAGTTATCCGCGATAACATGAAAAGCACAAAGAACGCTGGAACTGCTTTGGTGTCGTTCACGAGAGAAGACTAATTGATACCTGTCGCGCGTTTCGTGCTCTCCTCCGCTTGTTGAATGATAAGGTAAAAAGCTCGAGACACGTACTTGACTTTGGACGTTCCTATTACTTTGATCTTTAAGTATGAATATTTAAACTTTCAATTCAATATATATTCAAACATGTATATCCTATTTTGGAAATTTAAATATTCAAGTTTAAAAAGCAATAAGAATGTATAAAATTAGTTACGTGGCTTTCGAACAGATGTGGTTCGAAATTGAATTTCATAAATGTACAACAATGCATTTCTTCTCTCTCTCTCTCTCTCTCTCACACACACACACACACACACACATACAGTACGCTCAGGGATACTCCCGATTAATATTAATCAGAGGTCTGTGGTCTTTTTTCTCTTTTTCTTCTCTTCACCTTCGCTTTCCCGATCGAGGCCACGCGTCGCGGACGCGCATTTTAATTTGGTTTGACGGTGTTTTCTTATCGTCGCGCGCTCGTTATCGTCCGGCTTCGTATCGTGCACAGACGGTCGTCGGCTGCGGAACGTAGCAGTGAGGAACGTTGGTGACACAAGTGTTTCCCAGCGGTCGCCATCAGTGTACGTTAACGCGGCTTATTTTTCACGCCCCTATGTCGCAAGAACCACGTTGGCAGATGTGCGGGAACGAACGCGAGACGTGACGAGTCGTCGTGAACGTGAGTAATCGACGTTTCCATTACGAAGGCAGAAGTAGAAGAAGAAGAAGAAGAAGAAGAAGGAAAGAAGAAGACGAAGACGAGAATGCGTTTCCCCCGCTTTACACAGTGGCCGATGGTCTCTCGAAGATGCCACGATCGTAGAAATCTCGAGGAAATCTATGCGATCACGTCGACTTTACCGACGTATGTTTCTTCTTCTCTTTCCTTCTTCCTTCTGCGAATTTATCCTAAAACCTGAGAGCACGAGTCGACTGCTTCCTGTTCTTCGCTGCATCTCCTTCGAGTCTTTGGCGATCACGAAGCGGACTCACGAGGAGCGAAGTAGCTGCAGAGTCCCATTTTGCATCTTGCTCGTCGATGAGGAACCCTCTTCGTCTAGATCAGCGGTGACCCCCCCGTATCGCGTCGAGTATCGCGTCGCGTCGTTCACGTGCACACACGTGATCGCGCCCGTAGTAACCTTGAACGTGTAATTCCAGTGAATGTTGTACGACGACCTGTTCGGCCCGTGGGGCCCGCTAGTTATAATTGTGATCGGAGCGGGACTCATCCTGATCGCGCTGCTCCTGTTCGCTTGCTTCCTCACGCCCGGCTGCATCGGCTACGAGTGCTTCAGGAAACGAAGTAAGATCATCATTACCGCTTTAATTGCACTTCGCTGTATTACATTAAGCGCTGATGCGAGCGCATGCGTGCGCGCAATTATCCTCGCACTGGCGCGGTCTTCGGGAAGGCTCGAAAGAGTTGAAGGTTCAAGAGTCGACGATTAGCGCCGACTTTTAATGGCACCGCGCCGATCGAGCGTGCGCAGTCGCGCGTTGTTTTGTGTCGCGAAGTACTTGGTATCCTGATGTCGGTGGACGTGTCGATTTCCAGTCACGTATGTCCAGACACGTCGGGCTCTGTTTGCCTGTCTGTTTGTTTATCCGTCTGTCTTCGTCGTGCACGTGCCTCGTGACGACAAAGAACGCGAATCGATCGCACCTCCGCGCCAATTTCTCAGAATTGCAGCAAAGTTGTTCTCTCATTCATTCAGAAGTGATATATTTTTTTCCAACAGTGCACAGAAGAAATAGATTGGTTAAATTGACGTGACAATAAACGAACAATAAACACACCAAACGCGTTTAAGTTAAGAAAGAAGAGAAAACCAGAATTTCCAGTCCCTGACTGAATTCCTTGATAAGTTATTTCGTTTCTTTCTTCACACTTCACGCTCACGTTACACGGATCTCGCCGGTAACGAGGGAATTACATTGACAAGCCAGGCGCGCGGCGCGGATTACGCCTTTGCATTTACGTCGCATGACATACATGCATCTAATGACGTTTCCTTCGCTTCCTTCGCTGCATTACGTAATTAGGCACGTCAACCGGCAAACACAATGCATAACCTTCCGATAATGTTGTGGGGAAACGCCCAAACAACGTTGTATCACGCTTCGAGCCTCGGTTATACGCGCGCGTCTCTGGCATGCACGCACGCGCGCGAAAGATGAAAAAGAGTAGAGAAAAGAAGAAAACGGAAATTATACGAGTTAAATTTAACACGCGGAGTGCGTTACACGGTCGTTGCACAACGATGCGTTCGGTTAGCGGCCGTATATAGCCTTCGCGGCGGAACTCGCCGGCGATTGCTCAATCAGCGTTTAAAGCGCGACGCGTGTGTTCGAACGTGGTCTCGCGCGTGAATTTACGCGTGGATTATCACCGCAAAGAGTGATAACACGTTGAGAAAGAAAAACACGCATATCCGCGCTCGGTGAAGGAGCGCGGCCCGAGAGCGAGCCGTTACCGTTCGCGCGGCTCGCTAAGGCTCAAGGAGCCGCGAAAACGCTCATGACAGCCTTGAAATGAATTTTCCGTAGGCAAGGAGGTCAAGAATGTACCTGTGCGAGCAAAAAATCAAGAGAAGGAGAACCTGAAGCTAAGCGACGTCAGCTACAGGTCGTGGAGACTAGGCAGCCTCTATGAGAATGACAATGGTAACGTCTCTCGCTTTGATAGCGAAGCTGGCAAAGGTTCGTCGGAACTAGTCAGCAATTTTTTTCATCGATTGTAATGAAGTATGTATGTAAGCGCGTGACAGCTATGAACAATCAAGGTATTCGTCATTCAGTTGTCCGGTTACTTTTTGTTACCAGAAAATATATCTCTGAGAGAAAAAGAGAGATGAAATTAGTAAATCTTTCCTAAGTTGAGTAGTTTATCTCGTCAAGGCTTTGATGTTCAGCTTCTGGCTCCTTTACCTGTCCGATTCCTCATTTGCAAAATAACCGATCTTTGGAGCCGAAATATCTGACGATTCATCGAACATTTGCAAGCTCCATTTGCAAGCTTCCGATAATCTATAATAATCTATAAATATGTCGACGGACCATCGTCGGCCACGAAGTCGTCCTTCTCCAACGGCAATAAGACAAAATACGATGCGCAGGTACCATCAGCGAGAACGCGGGGTCTCCGAGGGAGTCGTTTAATTCCGCCACTGTGCAATGCGAGAACGTGGAGTGCTCTTCCACGCTGGTAATTATCGCGTCGACATCGCGGCGTTCGCCTCCTCCCTTTCTTTCTGCCTTCCCCCTTCACACCCGATCGCGTTAATTCGTCTGCAAAACTTGCAGAATTTGATTCCGACGGAGAAGCAGAAGAGCGACAAGAAGACGAGAGAGTTCCCGACCGAGTTGACGATGAGTCTGCAATATCTGCCGCCCTGCGACAATATTATCACCGGGAAGCTCGTTATCGGTATCGAGGTACGTTCACGAAGGATCAATACATTTCGAGTTCCGTGTACCTGCGAGATAAGATTCTCTCTCTCTCTCTCTCTCTCTCTCTCTCTCTAATGACGCGAATAAACGCCGCGAGCGTCAGCCACCTGCACACATCCTGGATCGAGTGAAATCACGCAGCGGATGCGCGTTCCGTGTTTCACAGGCGCTGTGCGGCCTTCCGCCGAAGCAGTACAACTGCACGCTGGAGCCTTACGTGGCGTTAAACATCGTGAAGCAATCGTGGAGCCACAGGAAGCGGCAGAAGTTGCACAGTTTCAGGACGAGGGGCATCAGGCACACCGCAAGTCCGATTTACAAGGAGACTTTCGTTATTGCGAACGTGAGGCCGCAGGAAGCTAAGGTGAGGCGAGGTCCTTCTTCTACCACCGTCGCGTGCTGAAAACAAAAAAAAAAGGAACGTGAATCGGGCGAAACGCGCTAACGGAGCGCGATCGATTGAAATCGAAATAGCGATTTCGTCACGTGCGAATGAGTGTTCTCTCGCGACGCGGACGTGATCGCGCGAGCGGAATATCTGATTTAAGGAGCGTGGCGCATCCCTTCGCCGCACTCTGCGTCAACGGATGCGATTTGACATGCAGGCGGCGGTACCGCGCTGTAAGCGGTATTGCTCGCCGCAGGTGCGACCAACTGATTCGCCTCGAGAGCGCAATTTTTCCCCGACTCCGTCCGTTTTTCTCTATTCTCCTCAGGAGTGGATCTTGGATATCGCGGCGTACGACCATGACAGGTACGCGAATCACACGGAGCTGTGCACGCTCAGGGTGCCATTGAAAGACGCGATGAAAGTCTTTTGCAGTCCGGAGGTTCACATGTTTAATTACCAAATGAAATCCTCCAGTCAGGTAATGGAACGCGTGACTAATATTTTTGCTGAGTTATCTTGTTGAATCAGGAAGGATTAAATACATTTTCTGATACGATGACACATCTTCGGTGCTCTTGATACAATTTACTTTCCAGGAATTTGGTAACATCTTATTGGCCATAAGTTACTTGCCCACCGCGCAGAGGTTGACTGTCAACATCATGAAGCTACGTGACGTGAGATTTACACCGGCAGTGTCGAGCCTGGACAAATTTAGTAAGTATCGATTGTCGAGATTTACGTCGCTTCGCGAAAGGGATCTTTCAATTGAACGACTCGCTTTATTCATCATTCTCGGCTGCAGACCCGTACGTTAGAGTGCTGATGTTGAACGGAAGAACAGGCAAGAAGATGAAGAAGAAGAAAACTAGATTCCTGCACGCCGTCGCGCAGCCGGAATTCAACGAGACGTTGACTTTCGATCTGGCAGTCACCCAACTCGACACCGTCCAGTTCCTGGTTGTGCTTTGCAGCAAGGTAAGTTACAAAAACTACAGAAACCTCGAGTTAACAAATACGTCACTTTGCATGTAATCATTTATCCATTGTTCTCGCGATATGTGGTAATTTTCTCGCATTTATGGAGGTTCGAACATACTTTCCGACAAATAAATAAATAAATAAATAAATAAATAAACATCCTCTGCCAACACGTCGAAAGTACATTTCGCTCTTCGCCATCCACATTTACAGGTCTTACCAGAGGGATCAGTTGCTAGCATCGGTACCGATCACGCGAGCGACAGCGAGGATTCAGTGAGCTCGTTCAGAAAATCCGCCGATGTGTCCATCGGCAAAGTGGTGCTTGGAAAAGGCGTCAGGGGACCTACGGAAAGACTGCACTGGTTCTCTGTGCTGCAAAATCCGAGGAAACTCGTCACCGTATGGCATATCTTGAAATAACGAGGGTCATCGTAAATTTTATCGCGTATACGTGTATATACAAAGAGGCGACCTTAATTAATGCAGCGTCTTAGGCGCCGCTGCCGCTTACTACAGCGTTAACACACACGTGATCCTACGTGATATTTATTTTTTAATTTAATCCCGTTGTTATTAAATATATATATATATATACACTTGCGTGTAGCTACCAAAGATTGTTTTGCCAATTAAATTCTATTTAAATCTTTATTCTTGTGATCGACGAGGAGAATTAATAAATTAATAATTACGAGAAAAAGAGTATGGGAGAGAGAGGGGGGTGGAAAACTAGTATTTAATTGTGCGTTGATTACTATAAATTATAGTTATTTCGCAGGTAACTTTATGAATCTCACGTTCTACTGACTAACAATCGTCGGACATCTTGAAAAAAAGACTAAACCAGAATCAGCCAGTAATTCAAACAGTTTAAATCGTTTGAATATTCAAACTAATTCGAGATTAGCGCAAAGTCTGTTCAGACAGGTTCGAACAACTGTTCGAGCTTGACTTGAGATTAAATACCTCAAGATCCGATCTTTCGAAAATTCGAAACATTCGAGCCGCTTGGAAATTTGGAACATCAGTAGAAACCGATAAGTCAGCCCACTAACAAGATTCAGAATCGACAAGACATTCACATCTACGTCGCACTCGCCTCCACGCAGAGCTGTTCCTTTTCGTTGCACTTTTTGCACTATTTTGCACCAGTTCTCTTTTCCTCTCTCTTCCACCAAGTCTCAACTGCGTATTTATTTCTTCCCAAATCCTGAAAATAAACACTAATTCGGCGGAAGTGAACGTACTTTCGATCGGCGTTCGAAAATCGTTCACAAACTGACATCTGGAACGAAGCTCGGACGTTCCCGAGCGAAATCTCGAGGAAGGAGAGAAGAAGAGCCGTTCGAACGTTCCGCCATGACCGGCGTGAGTGACAGCGTTGCCGGCAGATGGCGACGTCGGCAAGCTCCGGCGGGTTCCAAGCGGCTGAGCTCGGCGAGCTGTTCCAGTCTGTTTTGTGACGTGTGCGTGTGTTGTATTTGTCCGTCCGTAGTTGAGTTTCGTCGTCCGGTTCGTTTTTTTAGTGCTTTACCCCTTCGGCCTGGCTGGTAGCAGCAGCGGCGGCGGTGGCGGCGGCGGCGGCGGCGGCGGTTTCGAACGGGACGTGTCGCGACGTGCATCGCGGATCGAGACAGGTGAGTGATCGTCCTCGTCGCGATGATCGCGCCCGTATACGTTAACCTGCTGTCGCGTCGTGTCGTACAACGCGTCATCGAAGCACCACGTTCACGTTGAGCCGTCGCTTATCTCTCCCGACGTTTCTCCTCTCTCTCTCTCTCTCTCTGTCTCTCTCTCTCTCTCTCTCTCTCTCTCTCTCTCTGTCTCTCTGTTCTCTCTCTCTCTCTCTCTGTCTCTCTGTCTCTCTGTCTCTGTCTCTCTTTCTCACCTCGTGTTCCATTGTCTCACGCAACCGGCGTCCGCGGCGTGAACCTCCTCCTCGTGCTCTCGCGCGCGGTTACGTCGCATAATTTCGCGTTCTCGCTGGACGCCGGACAGCGAGAGACACTCGTGCGTTGCATTGTGGACGCTCGCGATCCTCGTCGCCAGGACGACGCAACGCTCGGTCGATCGCGCTAGCGAGGGTATTCTCTCCGGCTCGGCGGGCTGTCGCGGCGGTCCCGCGAGGGCGAGGGGTCCACCGTTCGATAAAGCAGCATCGAGAAGTAGGCTTGATGTATCCGGTATTGCTCGGAACATTAGAGTCATGCTCGAGTCGTAAAATGACGATCGGTTGCACGAGAGTCGTTCTCTTGGCGCGTAGACGCAACAACGGATTCTGCGATCTCGTCCTTTGACGCGTTTGATCTTTCTCGGGCAGGAGAGGAGGAGGGGTGTCATTATCCGCATATTTTATTCTCTCGTTCCTCTCTCTTTCTATCTGTCTCGCTCGCTCGTCCGCTCGTCTCTTTCCCTCCTGTCAAAGTCTCAATCGTAGTTCAATCGTACGTCGTTTGACGCACAGTAGAGGCCCAGTGCGACGGAAAAGGGGAGACATTTTAATAATCTCTCATTCTGTCTCTGAATCGAATTCGAGAACGCTCGATTATTGAAACAGCGAGTCAGGATTGGTCGCTTTCGGTGGCCTCTCGGATTCGAATCGAGGCAACTTCACACGAGTACGCTCGCCTAGTTGTCCCCCGTCCCCGCTCGAACTTGCGGACGCGCGTCGCGCATCCGACGTTTCGTGTGCTTTTGTCGACCGCTCGCCGGCGCTTCGTGCTCGTCTATACGAAACCGTAAAAGGGAGAAAACGAAAACGCCGACTACCTGCTTATAGAGAGGGATACTAGCCGTTCGACCGTTGCCGTTCGGGCCTCTCGGCCCGATAAATCGATTATCCTGCCACGAACCTTCTCTCCGTCGAAACGCATCCTCCCGCGAAGTGTCCGCCGATTTCCGGATACGACGCCATGCGACCGGGAGCACTACGTTCAGAGGTAAGCCGAAATTGACCCGTCGTCGTCGCCGTGATCATTCCGACTTCGCGGCGGGGGTGTACGAATGTATTACAAAGTTTGTTTCTCTATCATTGAAGCGGTGTACATTTCTGGGACTTAGAAAGAGACACGTGTAGGTGAGTCGAGACTCGTTGGAGAAAAGAGGAAGAGGCGCATAGTGTAGCCGTGGCACGTCCGTGCATCTAGCACGGTTGAAGATTAATTTCCCAGTCGACTCAACGACGACGGGAGCAAAACCTGTAGTCGGCTGCTTCTCGCTACCGGTGTGTAAGCGATGGCAGACGAAGAGTCCACCGATCCTTCGTCGAAACATTCTTCGACGCTTTTGTATGGAGATTGTCACAGTAGTGGAGATCGTCACTGTCACGTCCCGATCATCTCGGTCGGCCAAAAGTCGACGAAGGATCCGTAGACTCTTACTCTGCCCCGGCGTCTAGACGGATAATGACAGTCTGCTTTATTTCTACTTTTAAAAAGATACGCGATTGCAATCCCGGTGAACGCAACCGGCCGGTTGCGTCGTTGTCACGTCGTGATTATGTCGTTTTCACGGTTATCGGTGTATGTGTACGTGCGTGTGTTTGTATCTCGGTTACGTGAAAAATCATCACGTCGAGCGCGATAAAGATAACGCTCGCAATCGAACGCACCGTTGTATGTATTGTTGTTATTGTTGTCGTGTTGTTATTATCAAGGCTACGAGGGCGGTCGTAGGCGCAGGTACGCAGGTAATAATTTGAAATTACGTGCAACTGCGCTCTCGCCTGCATATGGCGCCTCCGCGTTCGCGTTCGATTCCGCGTCACGGAGAGAGCGGCGCGTGTGCGTATAGATGATATGTGAGCGCATACGCGCACGCACACAGGCGAACCGAACGAAACACTGGGAATCCGTGAAAATCGAGCGATTCATCCTTGAGAGCGTATAAACACAGCTGCGAAGTAAAAGACGAGAAAAAGGCGCGTACGAAGGGAAAAGGTGGGCGGCGAAGCAACGACCTTAGCATTCAGCAAGCGATTTAACCGCGAATTTAAATGTATACACCTCTAACTACCTACGTGCGTACATAGCGATTGCCGATCGCGAGCGCTGTCATTTCGAAAGAAGGTCACAATGCTTTTAATACACGACGGATACGACGCACACGTGAGCGGCGCTTGGCTTTCGCAATTTGCGAGACATTATCGCGCCGAGACGTCGCTCGCCGTTGCGCACGCAGCCGTCACCTCTCGCGTAACGTAACGTAACGTAATGTAACGTAAACGCGACGACGACGTCGTTGCTGTTCACTGTTAGTGTACAACCGGCCTGTGCCTACTTTTTCCCGCCGTTATCTATCCATAATTAACCGCGATCGCGGTCTCTTCCGCGACCGATTGCTATTAGCCCCGACAGGTAATCCGGTTACTATTAGCGATACGAAGGAAATGCACGTCAAGTGCACACGGCAAATTGTTTAGGAAGATGTGCACATTCGTACAACGAGAAGTGCAATAGTAGCTTGTCCAAATAAGACACACTTATCTTATACAGGATGAGAAGAAAGTTTCGGACTGATAAAATACCTCGAAAACCAAGAATTTTAGAAAAAAATGCTTCGGACAAGAGTTGTATGATTTTAAGAGAGACATAAAACAACTGTATCATTTTGTTTACAAATGGCACTACTTTCGAGATATTAGCTGATCATTATTTTTCTTAAATGGAAACCCTAATTTTTTGTTACACCGTCTTTTTCTACCAATTAACTTAAACAACTTTCGTCTGAAATATTTTTTTATTTGTCTAATATCTTTTGAGATATTTAAGGAAAACTTGATAACTTTTTTAATATTTAATTTATGATATCTCGCTAACTATTTGTTGAAAGAAAAAGTGGTACTGGACTCTTTTGCTCTACTTGGTCTCAAGAATATATTGTTACAATAGCGCCCTGACTTTTGTTAATTTGATGATTTTTAAATTTCCAAAAGTTAGTAAGTAAAGAAAGTAAAACAAAAGTCAGACCGCCGTTATAACAATATATTCTTGAGACTAAATAGAGTAAAATGTCTAGTACTATTTTTTCTTCCGACAAATAGTTAGAGAGATATCATAAGCATTTCTAAAATGCTTGATTTTTTAGATATTTTACCGGTCCAGGGCTTTTTCCTCACCCTGTATATTATTCGAAGTAGGAGAGACCCCGGGGCTAGTTGGTACAGTTTTTCTTAATGAATTTTTTAAGTGTAAGTAACAAATGGAATATAAGCGGCATGAGAATTTTTTAATAGCTACATGCTTATACAACACAAAAATTATTTTTTAAATTGAATATTTCTATTAACTTTGTTGCATCAATAAAAAATATAAGGCGACAGCATTTGTAACAACTAACCTCATATATGAGGTCAGTTGTTACAGTTATCGGGATCAGTTATTACAGATTTCTGTATTTCAAGGAATACATTTAATGATTAGAAATAAATGAAAAATGTGCATGACATAACTATTAATATTTTGCAGATAAAATATATATTCATATAGCATTAATGATGTAAACATAAATATATTTATCAATGATATAAACATAAACATAAAAGCATATTTATCAGTTATTTTAATTGCATTAGTGAACCAGTGCACTTACTGAACTAGTGCGGTAAGTTACAGTAAACGGCTGACAGCCGTAACAACCAGCTTCAGTTCACC